GAGGGAGGGAGGGAGGGAGGGAGGGAGGGAGGGAGGGAGGGGAGAGAGAGAGAAAGAGAGAGAGAGAAAGAGGGAGAGAGAGGCCTGACTTCTGAAAATTGTTCTCTGGTGTCCTCCACCTGTGTCCTGTGGCTGGCTGGCACATACCCATACTACACACACACACACACACACACACACACACACACACACCAAATAGACACACTAAACAAGTAAGTTAACAAACAGCATTTGGGAGGCCTTAAGAGAAAGTGTGAATTTTTTATGTGAGTGAGGTTTGAATCACTGGTGTCCACACAATGAAATATTGGAATCAGTATTCCACCGTGGCCTGATGATTGTTGTGTATTATTTATGTCCTTGTGCAGTCTTCACTGAACAGGGCTGGTCTCTGTAACAATAGAGTCCTGTAGAAATGATGGAACAAGACTTTCAAAGCCAGGACGTGCAGCTTCCACTTTGCCCTCTCTCAAATCGCTGGCTCTATCAGCTAAGTCCTATGGAAACATCCGTTTGCCCTGATTTGCCAACCACATGAGTGAGTTACCTCGGGAACAGCCACAACACCAGGACAGGCTTTGCATGACTGCGGCCTGAACTGATGTCCCAGTTATAGCTCTCTATGAGGGGGCCCTCCACGTCAGAGCCATCTAGTCAACACTGTCCCCACATTCCAGACTCTCCAGAATTGTTGGAAACCATTGTCTTCTGTCTGAGGCAGCTGTTTGAGGATCACCTATTTTATATCATGGCATGAGTGACAGAGAGGGGTCCTGCATGAACTAGTACCAACTGGAGAACTTTGGAGAACTTTCTGGCATTTTCTTCCTAGTTTCTCAGTGAGCACCACTATTACTAATGATTAGTTGGGGGTAGGGATGGGAGTATGAAAATCGCAACTCTTCTACTTTTTCCAGTGTTCGTCTTTCTTTCATCCCCATGGAAACATTGTAAATGAGATGGAGCTACTCGGGTACCATTAGAGTTTATTATTATTGTTGTTATTATTTTGTTTCATTTTTTGAAAGTTACCTTTGGCCCTGAATGTATAGGGATCATGTGTATTTAAAGCATGCTCTTTTTGATAGAATGTCTTTTATTGAGCTATAGAATATTTGTATGAGGAACCCAGGGGGTTGGAAACCCCTCTCCTTGCAGACAGAATTGCTTGTCCTTTGTAATGGCTTGCAGATCTGTATGCACTCACTACATGCATAAAGAAAATGGGGCCAGATAGCATACCTAATCTCTCTAAAGCTTGTTCTGGCTCCCAGGCCAATTAGATGAGGTTGGTTTTCATTTATGTTTTTTTTTTGTTGTTGTTATTGTTTTACTTTTTTTTCCTTGGTAGTTTCTAGTGAAAATGATTCTACCCAGTAAAGGCTAAATGCTTTCTTTTTATTATGCTGAGCTGGGTGTGGTCGCTTGACGCTGGAACAGACATGAAACTTTTATTTTATAATTTTGTATATCCCCTGAGGCAATGCTCTGCTTGGATCCTTTGAAATTGCAGGAAATAAATTACCAGTGGGCTCCATTCCAGAATGCATGATGGAAGTTCCAATTCTGATTGGAGTAGACCTCATTTCCAGTGCGTAGGCCATGTGTGAGTTTATATAGGACGTTTGTCTGCTCTAAAACCGAGAACCACTAAGCCTTTTAAAACAGCTTTCTGCTTCGTGGCTGATAAAAAAGGTTTTACTCAAGACTAAGATGTAGTCACATCACTTGTGTTTTTCCTTGAACTTTGTTCCCGATGTCATAGAGTCACTTTCGATTTGAAGTGGTTTCTCTCTAAATACTTAGATGGGTTTTGAGGAATGTGTGGCTTCTCCCTTATCAACTTGAACATTTCGTTCACCAGGTAAGTGCTATTATGTTTTTGTAAAATATGTGGGGTGCTTTTACTCTTAGTTTCTTAACATTAAGTTTCATTTTTGTTTAGTATCTATTTTTCTATCTGTCTATCTATCTATCTATCTATCTATCTATCTATCTATCTATCTATCATCTATTCCAGGTACCTTGGTTGAAGCCTTGTGTTTTCTAGACAAGCATTCTTCCATGGCACTAAATTCTCAGCTGATAATTTTATATAAATTTAAGCATTCAGAGCCAAATTAGGCAGATTTGAAGATGCTTAATAATTTATTTTTCCTTTTCCCTCCCTCAAATGTGAGATTTACTTCCTGTTGGTTATGGGATATTGGCCTTATGAGATGTCTTTGGTTGTCTGCTCTTTTAAGAGTGCTCTTCTAAAGTTGTTAATTTGTGTCTTCAAATAATTACAGATAGTGTAGTGTTCAGAAATTGTAAACTTACTAGTTAAGATACCATTGCGTTCTTACTGGAATTATGCCAATAGGTCTTCACCTTGTGTGTATGGTGTGTGTGTGTGTGTGTACATGTATATGGAGGTCAGAGGTCAATTTTGGGTGTCTTCCTCAGTCTCTCTCCAGTTTATTTACCACCCTTACCTCTCATACATAATATCAATTTAAAATTAATGATCCTATTTAGGCTATTCAACTTCTTACTTAGAAATTTCTGTAACCTTTGGGGCCAAATTAATTCAAATGATGCAAACATTTCAGTTCCTGGCTAGTTAGTTCACGTTTCTTTGCCTGAGAGCATCTTGGAACAGCCTTCCTCTTAATAACCCCCCCCCCCACCACCCCGACTTTGCTGCCTGTGCATAGAAAGTGCTGCCTTTTCCAAGGGCAGGTAGTCTTTTAGTCTGTGGACTTCAGCTTGGGAAGGAGATGGGGTGTGGCTCCAGGGAGGCCCATACCACAGAGCCGGTGTTGCCAGCCAACCTAAGTGGACAAGCATGTGCCAGCATGCAAGCAAGACATTCTCCTGCCCACAACTCCCAGCAAAGCAAAAGCAGAGTCCACATGGAGTCACCAGGAACTTAGCCACATAAAATACTTTTTTCTTTTCAAGAGCTATAAGGGGTGATGCCAAAGCTAATCCTGGTAACCAAATGTGTGTGGTTGCAATGCAGAGCCCTGAAAATAGAATACACCATGGTCTCACGCAGCAGCACAGCACAGTGGCAAGCACGGGTTTGTAAACGGAAGATTGGGGCTTTGAAACTCGATAGGCGGTCAAGCTTGGAGGTGGGGGATAGGTTTTCAATTTTTTTGGAGGCAGCTCTTCAGACAGGTGCAGGGAGTGAGTAATATGCCACTCCCCAATGGTACGGCTCAGCCAATAAGCATCAGGCTTCTCCTTGGTCGTATAGCATGGTCTCTGTGCCTGTCACGAGCTGGATCAGAAACCAAACCCAGATTCCAGGTGTGGTATTCCACAGCCGTTCTGTAATTTGTAATCATAGAAACAGAACGTTCCTCCTCTTATTTCTTCCCTGCCAACAGTTTCTGGGTGGGTGAATGTCAGTAGCTGGAGTTATTTTTAAAGAGGTGAAGCTTGCCGTGCGAAGCTGGGAAGAGGGCGTTTGTTTGCAGAGCAGAGCTGACATCAAAGTGTAGGTTACTGCTCACTGGCTAGGCACTTGTCCTATAACAGGTAATGTTTAACGTGCCAGTCACAAAGATCACAGAAACAGTGTATGCTCGGACATAAGATAGCACCACCTTTTTATGCTCTGGAAGACTGAAAGGCTATACATGCTCACGGACTTTTTTTCTTTCGAATACACTTACGCGGCGGTTCTTGCCACCGCCTCTTTTTGCTGACTATAATTGGACTTTGAAGTTGGGAACTCGTATCATAAAAAAATTGGTAACCTTTGTCTGCGAGCAAGCTCGGCTAAGCAATCACTTTCCAATTCTTTTCACAGGACAACATAAACGTGTTTTTGAAAGCTTGTGAACAGATTGGATTGAAAGAAGCCCAGCTTTTTCATCCTGGGGATCTACAGGATTTATCAAACCGGGTCACCGTCAAGTAAGTCTCACCGGTGTGTTTTACATGGACAGTAAACATACCGTACCTAAATGCTATAAATAGGCATACATATTTAAATTGAAGGTTTGCAGCTTAAGTGAAAATAATTGCCAAGAATTTTTGTGCTTATGGGACTATCTTTCCTCTCTCTGTCTTGTATCTCATTCCAAAATAGACTCTTAAAAAATCATTTTGAGGACTGAGAGTGTGAAACCATTTGTAACTGACACTGTGTCAGGATCTTGTTGCAAATCTCTATACTGACTGAAGTGGCGGTTTATATTTTAATGTTTTCCAGCATGGTCATGCTTGGTTGCTAATGGTGACGCTGTTCATTTTAATTTTGAAGTGAGTTTAGAGGCTGTTACTGTAATTTAAAGGTAAAAATGATCAGTTTAAAAGTAGCTTTTAGGTAGTTGGGAAAAATGACAGGGACAAGTGGTGACAGCCACCTTGGTCATATCTGGCAGGACCATCTTGCCTAGGACGAACAACCTTGTCAGTGGTCGCCTTTAGAATAATGGACCTTTCCCACTGTTTAGTTCTTTGGGCCAGAAAGAATCCACATCCGAGGGCATTCTGCTGGAGTTTAGCTGGACAGTAATGTCCATGTGTGAGTGTATGATTTCAGGAAAAATTCCCCCCCCACAAGTCTAATCTATATCCTGGAAATCAGTAATAAAATTATGTTGCTAGGTAAATGTGACATGGACGTTATATAATTTTGAAATAATGCTTACCTTCCTTATCTGGCCTCTTGAACCTAATTAACATGTTTCCAATCGAGGAAATACGCTTTGTTCTACTTGTAGAAATAGTGAAAATGGAAAACTTTTCCATGCTTTAGATAAAGATTTGTGTGTACTTCCTGTCCCCATAGTTTGGCTTTCAGTCGTTATTAAAATCAACCAGGAAATCTTAAACAGGGACACTGTTTCATGGAGGAAAATAATGCTACAGATTTTTTTTTGATAGTTTTCACTGTCTCCTAACAGTCTAAAAATCTCAGGCAGCACTAGTTGCTTTAAAAACTTACAGTAAATATTTCAAATGAACAACCTGTCCCATGCTGACCCACCTCTTTCTGTGAGGTATTTTCCAAACTCCACAGCAATGATATCTGCCTGGAAGGGTCATCTGTCCACATTTCTGGTGAATTTGAAATTTCCAATCTGAAGTTTCGTTGCTGAAACAACACTTTCACTATATTCAAGGACCTTGTAACATACATTGAAAATGAAAAACTATTTAATTTTCCCCCCCTACTCAGTACATCCTTTCCTAGGACTTATCTGGGTAAAGAAACTTCAGCCTTTGAAATGGTCTTTCCCTTAAGCAGGTGATGTGTATTAAGGCTGAGTGTGCTCTCCCCTTCAGTCATACCGCTTAGAACCTTGGCAGCCTACACTTGAGGAGGCTTCCGGACTGGGTTAAACATGTTCTTTGGCCCCTAATTTCAAGAGTGTTGCATATAGGGCTTGCCTGGAACCGCTTTCAGGAGTGGTTGGGTCTAAAGTGTTGACAAGAAATCAGTATCTGGGCTCAGCCTTCAGTGAAATTAAATTACTGACAAAGTGAAACCGGGATTGTGCGAAGCCAGCAGAACAACTTGTTTGAGTGGAAACCACAAGCTTGTAACAGCAAGGTGTGCCTCACTCGCTCGCTCCTTCAGGGTGAAAGAGCCACTCTCATCCCGCCTGAGAACTTTGCATGCTTGAATTCTGCTGGGCCTTAAAGGGTGAGCTCTGGGTCCTACCGCAGTGAGAGGCTCAGTGTCTCTCAGACAAGGTTGAAGATCACTGGCAATTGACTTCCTTTGTGCTTCGAGAAAGCACATTTCATTATAAGAAACAGGCTTAACGGAAGACAAATGATTGTTTAGTGAGGAGAAGTGTGGTTGTTGGGTTTAGTCTGGATTGTTCTGTAACACACAGACTCCTGTAGGTCAACTCTTGACCTATCATTATTGTAGATTAAAGGACTTGGCTTCGATTAGATCAGTGGTTCTCTTGGGGAGGTAGTTTTTCCTCCCTGGGGACATTTGGCAATGTGTGGTGACATTTTTCATTGTCATAGTTGGTGTGGGGTGCCTAGCCAGTGGGTTAAGGTGACACAAAGTGCCCTGTAGCCCACAGGACAGACTCAACAGGGGAGGCTTTTTCTATTCTGGGTGATAATATTGCTGGGGTTCAGAAATTCCAATGTAGACATAGAAGACCCTCTTTGCCAGCAAAATAGCTATGGGAAGGTGAAGGACTCTGACTGCACAGGCTTGTGACTCTGTTATGATGTCATGGCGTGTTTGCTGTCATCTAACCGTTTCATTTCTGTGTTAGTTCAGTACGCTTATTTCAGGCGAGGCTCCATGTGAGCTCTCTGAGAGCGTCAGCATGTGGAGCATTTCCGAGATCGTTTTACTCAACTACAAACATTTGATTTGGCGAAAATGTGGCAAGCGACATGATTATTCCAAGCGTGGTGCTGTGCCTGAGCTGCACAGACTATCATCTCATGGCACGCGGACATAGGCAGGCCTTGCTGCACGTGCAAAGTAGCCATGGTATACCAAGAGAAAGCAGTAGCCATTAGTACGCTCTGTGTTAAGGAACAGGAGGTGTATAGTCTGTGGGTGGAGGATGCATGTACAGTGGCTACTCAGAGTGAGGGAGAACTGAAGCATGCTGGAGAGTGAGCAGCAAGGACAGAAGCAGTTTGGGAGCTGTTGGCTCTGAGTGGTTGGATGAACTCAGAGCCTAGGACATTGCTCTTCAGCCGGGTGTGCCGTAACATTGAATTTGCAATGCATTCCCACCAATGAAACAGAAGGAGTGCACTCCCCATGCTCTGTAGCCGCACACACTACATACGATCGGTTGATTGAGTTTCCTCACAGGCTTCACTTTGCTGGAAGTAGGAGTTTTCACAACACATTTGAATGATTCCACTCATTTTGGTATTGTGTCTTATCCACAAGTCAGTAGGATCCACTTATACTTATTTATTTTTCTTCCCAAAGAGTTAATAAATAAACTTCGGATTTGATCCCCATGAACGGCGGATGAGGGTTAACCCAGTATGTGGCCATGACACTTACCCCGCGTCTTTATAACCATTTTGCGGAGTTGTCTGCACGGAACTGAACACACATAATCCATGTGGGATGAACGATGAGGTGCCCCCTACCCAGTGACCACAGAGGCATGGCACAGAACACAGGGAGTGCCCCCAACAGGCGTGAAGGTCTTTGTGATGATATCAGGTCAGAAAGAGAGGTACAGAGTGACTGATTATGTTAGAAATTAACTCACTGGAGAAGCCCTTGATCCTGTCTTACAGGGCTCTGAGTTAGTAGCAGGGTCAGGCTCGACATTAAAACTTTGTATGTTTAACAACTTTTGATTTAAAAAGTGAAGGTCCTATTTAAAGCATTGCTTAAAACAACTTTCTTTTTTCTCTTTGTGTGTGTGTGTGTGTGTGTGGTTTGCCTGTGTATGTGCAGGTGTGTTTATTCATACATGCGTGTGTGGAGTCCAGAGGTTGAAGCTAGTGCCTTCTATCAGTTTCTACTTGAGTTTTTGAGACAGGGTCTCTTGATGTCCTCAAACTTGCCAAGTAGGCTAGTCCAGATGGCCAGTGAGACTCCAGCATCTGCCTGCTGTCCATCGCCCAGGGCTGGGTTCCAGGTGCAGGGCCCTCTGCCTGGCTTTTATGATCAAGCTGGCGATTCTAACTCAGCTCCTCATGCTTAGGTCAGGAAATATTTTCTTGACTAGTGAGCCATCGCCCTAAGCTACTCAAACCAATTTCTATCAGTCGTTTTAAGTTGCAAATTTGAACAGCCTGTAAACATGTTTGTTCCCTCCTCCCCCTCGGCTCTGCAGTCTAGATTTTAACACTTCTCCAGATGCATTCTGTTCATAATTACAGAATGGCAGTGCTTTTGAACACAATATTTCAGTAACGAAATTATCTTCTAGTGTAGATTTAGTGCTGCTTTTATTTAGGTCAGTAACACTTTAAAATGTGACTTTAAATAGTGCTGTTTTCTGGTTTTTCTTCTTATGTATTACCTTTAGGGTACAGATAATCAAGATTTTTTTTTTCCTGACCTTAAACACTTGCTAGTTGCCCCAAAAGGAACAGTGATTGGAAATAAAACTAGTATTAATATCTATCCACCACGAAACTTATGGGAAGCTCAAAATGACATTCCAGGTGTTCAAATCTATAGTTTCAGAGGCCAGCTTGATTTTGTCACTGCACTGTGAAGTCATTAAGGCTCCCAAATGGCACTCTGGGCAAACAGTCTGTCAAACGGAGCCTGAGTATGTTTGACTGTCTATGTATTTATTTTTAGTTTTTTCAGCTAGGTAACAATAATATGAGTACTATATATATTAAGATGATTATGTCTTACATTTTTATAAATGTTTGTAGGTGTGTCTCTGTGAATATATGTCATGTGTGTAACTGCTCTCATAGGCCAGAAGAGGGTATTGGATCCTCTGAGCTGGAGTTACAGACAGCTGGTTGTGTGTACCTTGACCTGAGTGCTGGGTGCTCAATCATGGAGCCATCTCTCCAGCCACCATTAATTGTTTTCTTAAGTTTAAGCCTGGTTTTAAATGATTATTAATTTTTTATAAGTTTGTCTTTTAAATGAGTATTTTGCCATCTCCATTTTTGTTTATCTTAAGCAAGCTTAGCACTATCCAAACTTGGATCTGTTCTTGGAGCATTGGTGACTTCCACCTGTCACTGTGTGTTACTATTTTAAGTCCTCCCCTTCCCGTTGACTCTAGAAGAGCAGGCGGAAAGGAAGTTCATTGTGCCGTGTACATCTGTGTCTCCTTGCTCCCTTCTTCAGGGGACAGCAACTTATTGGGAGGGGGACAGTACGTCCTCTGAGAGGTCTGTGACCCTGGTGGAGGCCAGCAGGTGAAGTTGGTGAATGCTTGTCACTTGTACATCCGAGAGTCCTCACCTCTGCTTGGGAGTAT